CCCTTCTACAGCAGCTGCAAGTCAGATGCGCTGCCTGAGAGAACTGGACTGAGTGGGTGATAGGGCTGGAAGGAGGCAGGTGAAAGGATTTGTTTGTGCAGCTCAAACTGAGTCTGTCAAAAGGACATGATGTCAACAGTGATGGGGGACGTGCTTGTCAATGTTATCGCTTTGTTTCTTATCTTGCGGTGCTAAGCACGTTTCATTTTTTTAGCGAGCTGGTGTCAAGATGGCCCTATATTGCCAAGTCAATGAAGAAAGCAGACCCACAAGGGCTGCCAGTTGTTAATTTCCTGCTATTAATGGAGCTTAAACTAAACATCTATGGTAAATATTTCCCTTTGCTTTTCTGTGGCCTGGTGTTGACAGGTGATGGACAGCAGTCTGCCCTTCCCAGTATGAAGACTTGGGTTTATTAAGGCAAAAACAAGAAGGGTAGGGTTGGGAGAGGGCTACTTACCTTCTTGTCAGGATGGCAGAAGCCCCTCTCTGTGAGCTTTCTTGAGATTGCCCTGAGGTGAACAAGGACTTTCTCTTGCATGTAAACTCAGCTTCATCTGACAGGCTCTTTCTTGCATGGGCATCTGGAAAGGAGAACCTGAGTCCTGAGCTGTGCTGTTAGCTCTACATACAGCCATGAAGGAAAAGCAAAATTACTTGTGTGACTCAAACCCATACCTAAATTAATCTGATCTCTGATGCTACAGTCAAGCATCCTGAAAAAGGATAGTTTCATGAACTAAGTCCTTGATATTCTGATACCATTGGCTGATTATAAAAACACTTAGAGAATCTCATATCCCTGCCAGGGAAGTTTTGGTGCTTTTTGCAATATCTGCTAGGTTGACAGGAGGGAGGGAGGCAGGTCTAAGCAAAGCTTGTTCTTTGCCCAGGGTAAAGGACTCTGCTGGTCCAATGTCCTCTTCTCAGCTTGCTGTGAGACTCTTATGTAGATCATTATATGAACAGCCAGTAGTCAGCAGAGGAAAACATCAACCTTCATGTCTCAGAGAGCAGCTGACATGTAGCTATGCAGCCTGTGATGGTGCCAACCTCAGGATGGCAGGACTTGCGACTTCTTTTCAGATAAGGCCTGGAGATCATGGAACGTACAAGGACAGAGTCTTGCAGCAAAGAGGACAGGGATGGAGCAGACTAGGGACACGAGGGAAAGGAATTGCATGTGGTAAAGAAGGAATCAGAGAAATGGGAAGTGGGTGAGTACTGCAGGGGGTATTCCTGCCTGCATCTCTATTAGGTCCCAGTAGCTTAACAGTACCCACCACAAAGCACTGAAATACTGCAGTGAAGTAATCAATCATTTCTTGTGCTTGGGGACATGCTGCAGTCTCCAAGCCTGCATCTGCTTGGGATGCATTGCAAAGCATGGGACGTGTGCTGTGATGTCACATTTCAAGTGGCTCCATCTAGCAAAAGCATCACCCAGCACTTCTCATGACAATCCTGCTCCTCACGTAGCCAACATAAACAATGGATGCTTCTATAGCCCATGAGCATGCACACCCCTCCTGCACCCCAGCAGCCTCTTCCCAAGGGTGGTTGGATGAAGGCCCTCTTCCTCTTTCTCAGCACAGAGGAGACCTTTCTGTCTTCTACTTCAAGACCACAAAAGCTCAGACTGTAGGGGAGATCACTTTGTAGCTGTGGGGAGATCACTTGTCCCTTTCCAGGGCCTCACCATGGGAAAGGGATAAAGTGCTTTGCTTTTAGTCTTTTTCTTCCTAAAATGGGAGTCTTGCAGCTCTGATCCAAGCACTGGAATCCTCTCCAGAGCTTCTGTTTTGGGACTAATGATGCCCAGAAGGGGAAAAGCAAGCTGAGCCCTCACTTGTTTTCCTGTGTCATCCTTTGCTGGATATCAGGTCCCTATGTTCCCTGGCTGCTTTCCCCTGTATTAGCTTCCTTGCCCTTGTTCTTACCAGCACACTCCTCTGTAGAGCTCCACTTGTTGTTTAACCCATTGGCTTCCTCTCCTTTCCTTCCTTCCTTATTACTTTGTCTGGGACTCTGGTTCCTCTGCAAGGTCTTCCTCATGTTCCCTTGCCCCAGAGCAGCTGTGGTGATCAGACCTGCCTTCTCCACCCAAATCCTGCCCCAGAGCCACTCCTGCCCTTACACCTTTGAAACACTGGCTGTCCTGGATGTAACATGTGTGAGACACACAGAGAAAGAGGCTAACCTTTACTCCTGGATGCACATCCCCTGGCATGCCATAAGACTACAGATATCAGTGACTTGTGACTCAGACAGGCAAGCTCATGATTGAGCAAAGAAATACGTGTGTGATTTTCATAGTCTTTTATTGCTAGCCTCTGGGCATCTGGTAGAAGAGGATATTTCTAGTTCACTTCATAGGATTTTAGATGCACAAGGGAACCACAACACATGAAAGAGGAATGGATGCTGTAATTCCCCTGAAAGGCCGGGGCTTTAACAGAGCTTCTTATTGCTGTTGAACTCTTTAGGGAACACTGTATTCTGTATACCACAGAGTTGACGGTGGTAGTATGATATGCAATGCCCATCCATCCTTATTACTATTTCAGCCACTGGGTAACAATCCAGATCCTCAAAGGCTGTTAAGTGCCTGATTTTGTTTGAAACCATTGGGAATTTGGCATCTACATCTTTAATTTCTCTGCATACAAGAATGCCCTGCAAAAGCTGACTTCTATGTGCTTTACCTTAGCAGTTTCTATGTGTAATTAATGATGCATGGAGTTACTCACATTGCCCATGGAGGCTTTCCTGTTGTGTCATGTGTGGATTTGGTTGTGCCGTTCTTGTCAGAGAAAGGACAGGTTGGGCTAGGAACAGGACTATTGCAATCCCTTTTGGTGATCAGTAAGAGGCAACTCAAGGAGATACCTTGAGGAGAGGGACGGTGCATATCGAGGGGTAAGAGACCCCACGCCGGTTTCCAGAAGCACAGAGAACTGAGGGAGGCTTCAGCAGCAGTGAGGACTGGCAGAGGGAAGATGGAAGGTGCTCACCAAAACTGTGTCATTTGGGAGAGCATGATGATAGCTGAATTTTTGGTACGGATTTTCAACTTTGTGCCCTGAGCAGAAATGGATAATTTTAAATAGGACCAAAGTTAAGCAAGTGCTGCACCCCAAGGAAAAGCAAGATGTGTAAAAAGTATGGATTAAACAGAGAGCACACAAAGCCACTGAAAAAAATAGGCTAGTTTGTGAATGATTTAGATTTTTTCCATTTTTGGAGACCGTATCTCATCCCTGATAAGGGACGAGACTCTGCTTTGGAGCTGGTATAAAATGAAGAAAGACCACTGAAAGCTCTGGATAAGGTTGTGTTGTGGGTTGGTGGGCATGGAAGTGCAGACCTTTGGGTAATAAAATATCTTCTCGAAATGAGGGGAAACAGTGGCAGAAATGTGAAGTGGCCAGCCTGGCCAAGAAGTCTGAGCCTAATCCACGTGTGCTGATGCATCATTTAACAGAGAGCTGCCAAGAAGGTGGTGTTGGCTGTTAGGTACCTATACCAAGTGATTTGCAGATGAATAAAGAAATAGATGAGGCAGAAGGGAAACACAGTAAAATTTGGCCCTGGGAAGTCTCACCGTGTTCATGTCCATGTCTAGAATGGGAAACAATGACCAGGAAACAGTTTGAAGCATTGGTTATGTTGTGTTCCTGTGAAATAGAGATGGTTGTCCCATGGTCAGACACGGGGGGAGCAGAGTACTCTAGGATATGACAGCTTGGACCAGTCATAAAACCTGCCTTTCTGAATGGTAACACCAGTAAGTGCCAGGAAAAGCTGTTCACTAGACTTGAATTCATCGTAGCCTTCCAGCTGGTGGGGCAATAGACATGTGAGTGAGGAGACATGGAGCAATAACAACAGTTATTGCTGTTCATGCTGCAGGTTTTGCTGTTTTCCTAGGATATTTTTTTGTATTTGCATGTAATCTGAAACATTTACCTGCCACTGGGGACAGAACTTCCCATCATACTTAGTCTCACATACCTTTTAAACACGGCTCTTAAACCATTCTAGTGACTTCATACTGGGGTGATTTTCAGCCTGGATGTCTGAGATGGACTCTTTTTCTGTGTTTGGAAGCATCAGTATTTAAGTGACTGAATGGATGGACTGATGGTGGGAATTAGCCCTGATTTCACAACATGCCAGGAAGAAAAATCAAACAAAAGTAGTACAGGATCATAGTCTGGTTCTGCTTTTCATCTTGGCCATTCTTCAGTGAGAGAGAGCAGAAAAGCAGAGTTTTCTGGAAAGCATGTTCATTTTCACAGCTTTCTTGTATGCTCATCTCCAGTTTAGGAGATTTAGTGATTGAAAAAATGAAGGTGGAACATATCCTTAAACTCTCCCCAAGCCCAGACAATGTGTATGAAAACATATACACCCATTTATAGCTGAAATAATGAGAGGAGACTTTACTTCTTGACTTCATCTTCTTTTCCCTGAGAAGGTTCAGACTTTTTCAGAAACAAGTGAGTAGTTACTAGTGACAGGTGGGTTAGAATACTTTCCCACTCCACTGGCATCTAAAATCTGTGTAGTGGATTGCTCTGGAAACATCCCTCTTATCCTTTACTCTTAAGCACGTGCCCAAGACCCAAAAGCTTTCATAGAAAACCTGCTAAGTCATCCTAGGAGTGTCGCATTACAATGTCAAAAACGAAAAGGAAACCACAGTAAAGAACTTGTTGCTAGCAAAACGTCTGTATTAAAATACAAAGAAAACTTTTCTGTTGGGAACAGTAATTAATAGAATCTCTTTTGCTTTGGTATTAACAACAATGCGAGTTCAATTTTCCAAACAGACCACAATGTTCTTGAGGAATAAATTCCACCACTGCCATTCTGAACTTCAGCCTAAACACCAAAGAGGTCAAAGACAACTGTGCATCCTAGACAAAACTGTGCATCCTAGCAATATTCCAGCACCATTACACTGGCTTACTGCATCGTGTCCCATCAGGTATGGGTTATATCTGGACATTGTTTGGTGATGGCAAGCTCACAGGGCGTCCTATTGTGTTTGAGAAGGCAATAATTGCATTGGAGCCCTTGGAGTTCTTGTTCATACCCAGGATGTCCACACTGGTTTGCTCTGGCTCGGTTTTCCTGAAGATGTTCTTCATGGTTGACTGGAAATTATTGGTGACAAAGCAGTAAACAATTGGGTCCATGCAGCTATTGAGGCTACTCAGAGTCACTGTCACATGGTAGACAAGGAGGCTGACATCATGGGTCATGTCTGGGTTGATGGAGATTGCTACTTGTCGCACGTGAAAAGGAGTGAAGCAGATCATGAAGATGATGAGGACAGTGATAAGGAGTTGCACAGCCCTCATTCTCCTCTCCCGACTCTGGTGCATGAGGCTGGGCTTGGACAGAGCGCACATAATCCTGGTGGTAAAGAAGATGATTATGATGAGCGGGAAGAAGTACTCACAGACCATCAGGACCAGAATCTTGGAGAGGCAGCATGCAGCAAACTGTATTGCCATGATCAGGATGGAGAAAGTCACCACAGTGGCAAAGATCCAAATGAAGACGCAGATCCCTTTGGCACAGGTGGGATTCCTCCACTTACGTGAGGCCTCCACCTGTACGATTGCCAGATAGCGGTCAACGCAGATGCACGTCAAGAAAAGGATGCTGCAATACATGTTGACAAAGTAGGCAAAGATATGAACCAAGGAACAATTCAGGCAGTCCCCTGCACTATAGAACATGATGATCCGGACAGGCAAGGAAAAGCCCACCAGGAGATCAGTAACAATCAAGTTGATGGTGTAAATAACAGAGGTGGTTTTTGTCTTGGTACGGAAGCAGAAGACATAGAGTGCCAAGCTGTTTAGCACACCACCCACCAGGAAAATGATGGCATTAACTACCATCAGGGCAATCCACAAGCTGTAAAATTCTGTGTACAGTTCTTTGTCAGGGTGGATGAACTTGGAGAACAAGTAGATGCTGGAGTTGGGTTGCTGGGTGGAGTTGATAAAGTCAAGGACTGGGAGTTGGGTGGAGGAGGTCGACATAGTCACTGACTTCCCAGTGGTCTGGAAGACAAGAAACAGAGGTATTTTGATGGTTATGTCACCATTCCTTACGGGTCAAAATATTGTCTCCTGAGAAGACTTTAGCCAACATATTTGTATATCCTCAGTAGTTACATGTATTGCTGTACTTCTGAGAGTCTCATCTGTCAATATGGGATTACCAATAATCACTAGAAAAATACCTGGGTTTACAAGTACTGTCTTCCAGTGGTTCCAGATGCATGTTTTTGAGAAGACAAACAATCCCTGCTTCAAAGTTCTCTTCCTCTGACCTGTGCAAAAATGGTTTTAAAGCCTGAGCAAGAAAAGAGAAGTGAACTATGCCAAGGGGAGCAAAGGAGAAGGGAAACTCGGGGGACATACACATGGTCATGCTTGAGCCAGTCATGTGATAAATGGCACAGAGAAATAGATGAGGTTGCTAAGTTCAAGCGCATTGATGCTCATGGAGGGTACAAGCCGTTTTTCTTGGTGACAGGGAGGGTCAGGCCAATATGCGGCTCCTACCGAGTCTTGTTTCCTGAACATGGCACTTATTCTTTTGAGTCCTTACCCCATTAGAGCAGCTTCTTCCTGGCTGGAAACTCTTCATGCTCGGACATGGGAGCAGGACAGTGCTGCCAGCCAGAAGACATTTGCCCAACCTACTGGCACAACCATGCCCTCAGCATCTGATTCCTAAAATATCACATCTCTTCCTTTGGCTAGGTGATCCCATTAGAGATTTCCATGCAGCAGGATTTTTCAGGAACTGTAAGATTTTCCTAAAATAAAAGGATGGATGAATTTTCCAGGAAAGCACAAGCAGGTTGTGTGGCATCTTCTAGGGATTAGCACTCACAGCAACAGCAGCCGGGAGATTTCAAACCAAGGGCGTCAGCCACTACTCCTGCCAGGGTTTGACAGTTTAATTTGCAAATCATTCCTGACTTACACACTATTTTAAACTGATTTGTGTATTAAAAAGATTAAAAAAAAAAGCCCAATATATACAGAGACTTGGCTGGTTTCAATAAAAATAAATGGTTGAAAAATGTCTGGAATATCTCAAAGCGCCTGAGCAGGACTTTGAGGTTAAAAAAATCAGCTTGAATCAGCAGAGAAGGATGCTGAAAGGCTTGAGTTATGAGGGTTTGAAATCCCTGCTACCAAAGAGCCAAGTGCGGAAGGGCTAGGAAACAAGGAACTGCAAGCACATATTCCAGCACTCACAGGAACCGCGGTGTGCCTGCACTGAGTGTCTCAATGAACAAGTCTTGAATTGCTAAGGGGGTCTGGGTTTCTGGCTCCCCCAGGCTTGCCACATCCTCTGTCAGCTGGCCTTCTGCCTGCAGTAATCTTTTTTGCTGCTTATGGGGATAGACTGAAGGTGGCCAAAAGCAAATGTTTTGCAGGGACAGTCCTAACTGGGTCCGGAGAGCAACACGGCATCTCTGAGCCTGCCTGACAAATGCCAAAGCCTTTTCCTGCCCTCCACAAAAAGCTTGCTTGTTGGTCTAACTCAAGCTCTTGAACTCCTCCATACCTTCTTAACAAAAGCAGGCAGCTTCCAGCTTTCTGGGATAAAAAACTGGGGAACTGAAGTTTAGGAGAAGAGATTCCCAAGTCTCTGTGCATTTGCTGGACTCCTGATGTGTCTCAGCAGTGCTGAGCAGAGGGGAAGGATCATCTGCCTTGGCCTGCTGAAAACACTCTTCCTAAGGCAACCCAGGAGGCTGTTGGCCTTCTTTCTCACAAGGGTGTATTGCTGGCCCATGTGCATCTTGGCATCTGCCAGGATCTCCAAGTCCTCTGCAAAGATGCTTTCCAGCTGGTTGTCCCCACCCTGTACTGGTGCCTGGGGCTATTCCTCTGCTATCCTGGTAAAGCCTCTGCTGGACCCTCTCCCATCTTTCAGCTTTCCCTGAACAGTGTGATGAACCCTGAACCAGTGATGACTTGATGGAGATAATAAGTCCCCTCCATCTGCTGACCACAAACCTATTGTAGCACATTTTGTACTTTACTTTTTTTGCTGATTCTCTTTCAGCCTAAGATCAACCATAACATCCACGTTCTTTTCAATCGAGCAGTTTCCAGCCTGTAATGGTGAATGGGGGTCATAGAATATGGCCAGGGAGGCTTCTGTGGACCACCAATTGACTGAAGCATGGGTGCTTTCCCATCCCTTCTCACTTTGGAAAGGTCTTGGAATGAAGGATGTTTGGTAAATGGTCAACATGAAAGATCAAGAGTCCTCATGGAATGCTGCAGCCTAGTCATGGTTATTTTATATGGTTCTTTCAAGCCATCAAGGTGAGCATGAAGCAGAACATTTGTTAAACAAAAGCAGAGATTAGGACTGAGATTTTAGAAGACCAGGTGTGAAGCTCCCTATGAAAATTCTTGGAGAAATGACTTTGCCACAATGATGGAGCTTAGGTCTATTGTCCTGGAGTTTGGTGATTGCTCTAGGCCCCTTGTTTGGGGACCTACAAGGAAGCTGGTGGGGACTTTTTACAAGGTCCTGTAGTGACAGGACAAGGGGTAATGGGTTTAAATTGAAAGCAGGGAGGTTTAGATTAGATATCAGGAAGAAGTTTTTCATGGAGAGGGTGGTGAGGCACTGGAACAGGTTGCCCAGAGAAGCTGTGGATGCCCCATCCCTGGAAGTGTTCAAGGCCAGGCTGGATGAGGCTTGGAGTAACCTGGTCTAGTGGAAGGGGTCCCTGCCCATGGCAGGGGGGGGGGGACTGGATGATCTTTAACGTCCCTTCCAACCCAAACCGTTCTATGATTCTAGGATTCTAGTTTTTGCTTGCCTCTCATCTAGTCTATTGAAGTGGTGTGAAAGAAAAAGCTGTTTTTTAATATGCTCAGATTTGGAAGAATATTTATAATCAAATGGTGATTTGTTCTGTTTAGGTAGCCACTCAAGCCCCAGTAGTTGAATTGTTCATTGAAGTGGCTGGTGCTCAACCATAATGCCCTCCTCAGATCAAACCCAGTGCCAGATTATGCAGACTGGAATCCTGAAACCTGGGATCTGACCACCTGTAGAGTCCCAAAGAACTGCTGAGCAAAGAGGAGCAATTCTAACTTCTGTCCACTTTTGCACTTAGGCCACATCCAGCAGCAACCAGACGTTGGAACATCTTGTGTTTCAGGAATGACCTGATTACCTCACCCTGCGCTGAACTCCAGTGGCAGCCAAAGTAGCACACATGTTCATATTATTTTGTCTGTGTCTGATTGAGCCTGCAGACTCCTGGGGGAGAGTCTTGACTCTTCACATTTTGTGCCAAGCATGCTGTCAGTGAATAGCAGGAAAAACTGGACCCAAGACCGGCTAAAGGTAGTGGAGTTGCAAAGGATGGCACCTGACAAAGATGCATGGGGAGGATGCAGAATGCTGGCCTATTTTCTAATGATTTTCTAGTATTCTCACCAGATGATCTTCTCTGTTTGTTTGTTTCACTCTTTAATTACAAAAACAAACTGAAATGAGCAGATGCCTGGATCTGCTCCCAGATTTCTCTTTGCAGATACTGTTAAGAGGAGCATTGTGGAAGCCACTGCACCAGTGCAAACCGAGAAATAAAGTCTTTGTTGCCCCCTGAGTGCAGCATGAGCTCACGTATCTGTGTTCAACAGATAGTTGAGCAAGGGGAGAAGGCAAAACCACCCATCCCATCCCTTATCATGCCCTAGAGTGTACTGAGTTGCATAGGCATTTGTCTTATTGTAATCCTAAGGCACTTGCTGCTTGCTTCGATTTTACATCTTGTTAATAGCTTGCCTTCTCTGGAAAAATTTTCTTCAGTCTCAGATCCTTTATCACGAACACCTGACATTCATTTTACATTATTATTTTCCTGCCTCAGTGTAATTGGTAACTCAAAATGCATTCAAAAGTTCCTCTTCCTCATAGTGCCATTCAAGTATGTAGGGCACTTTAATAGAAAAGGATCCCCTCTGAGTACTGTCCATACACAGAAATTAAAATCATCAGCATATGCAGTGTGATGGCTCACATAGACACCTCTTCCACTGAGCCCCTTGTGCAGTGAAATGAACTCCAGATATAGTAAAGAGCTAAAAAACAAGTAGCATTTTGTTTGCCAAACTGAACAGCACGGGAGAGTCTGAATTAGAGCTTCTGTCTCTTCCCACACCATCACTGCCCTGTCTGAACTCAAAATCCAAGCAACTACATGAAACAAATTTAATTAATTCTGAAGATTTCCTCACTGACAGGCTGTGGAAAAGCTGCGTCTTGGGCTGTGGTGGGAAAAGTCTTCCTCTAATCAAGTTGTTACTGAAGGATATTTGGGTGAATGGCCTTTTCCTTTGTGGGACTGCCCTCATCTCATGGCTTACAAGCAGAAGGGATGGAGAGCTGGACTGGCAAAGCAATAGCATTCCTCTGAGTGCTTTTAATGAGATGGAGCTGGACCAAACCCTTGGCTAAGAGCTACTAAGCATTTTTCCATTGTGGGACTCCAAGCGCTTGAGAAAGGTACGCTGCCCCATTTTGCAGCAGGCTGAACAAGGTACAGAAAGGCAGCATGACCTCGTATCTGAAGAAAAGCAAACATTTCAAAAGATTTCCAATTCTGTCCCCATGAGTCTCAAAATTACCCCAACCAGGTCTCTCTGCCATCAGAAATACTCATACAGGCGTTAAAATGAATCAGTTTAGCTACCCTTCACCATGGAGTGGTGGAATACAGCAGTCAGTGAGGGCCGTGGCTAAATACATGAGAAGTTTTGCAGCCTCTGCAAACCTTTATTTTGCTATGTTTTGCACTATGTATTGCTTCTAGCTATGGCATGAGGTCCTGCAGAGCTGAAAGAACCAAAATCACCTTTGCTTACAGATAGGTATTGTACTAACGCCCTTCCTAAAAACTTCAAAGAGTTTGGAGCTCAGCCTTCTTCATGCCTAATTCATCTCTCAGCCCCCTAGATTTCCATGCGATCTCCATTTCTTGCAGCTG